AAAAAACAGACAAATAAAAGAAACTAATATTTAAATAAAAATAATAAATTAAGTAGTTTGGGCGAAATAAACTTTGTATAACCGGCAAATAAAACAATAGAGGATTATAGTTAAAGTAATCGTTCATCGAATGAACTTGGTTTACGATTACAGTAATCGTAGCTTTAACTTTTTTAAAATTACGATTACTGAAATCGTAATCTAAGTTCGTTCGATGAAGGATTACTGTAATCGTAATCTTGTTTTTAGCTCGTTGGGATTACTGAAATCATAGTCGTTTAGTAATCGTAATCCGTATCGCCCAGCTCTGTTATTGATTAATGGTGGTCACTATCGCGATACTATCGGAAATCTTTGTACAGGGTGGGCCAACTAGATCTACCACATTTGAGCATGTAGCCTTTTAAGTAAATACGATTTTGGATGTTGGAAAAATGCATCAAGTTATTGTAGTAAATCGTAATTATTTAATGAATAATGAAGATTTACAAAGATATGTTATTCAATTGCAAACAGAAATAAAACTCATAATTTTTCAATCAGTAAAATAATTTGACAAAAAGTGCAAAGCTTTTTAAAGAATGGAAAAAAACGCAAAGTCCATAATCAAGTCTCGAACACTCTGTTTATCCATTTGTAACATTCCTCCCCCTTTAAAATCTGACGTAGTCGTCAAATTTTTTATTCTGTCCTCTATTTCCTCGTACTGGATAACGGTGTTGATCCTGAACTGTTTTAGAGCCCTGAATGTCTTCTTTTAGAAAGTCGTCCATCCCTTCCTGATTTTCCTCAAAATTTGTTTCTCCAGCGGATTCAATAATTCCTTGATTTCCTGGTTCTGGAATAATATTAGGTTCAACTTCATCCCTCTGTCTAGCTGCAGCTTTTAGTGATAGATTTTCTTCGAAATCTGGCAATTCGAACAACTCTAGCATTTCATTTTTAGAGTAACGGCGCTTAAGTTGGTTAGCGTGAGCTTTGACAATGCGATTACCCGAAGGTGTTGTAACATCCACAGTATAATTGACAGCCCCATTTCGACTTTTAATTATACCTGGAACCCATTCCCACACTTTGCTAGTTGAATGAAGCTGATAGTAAACCTCATCATCAACATTGAACTCTCTCCATTTCGCACCATGGTGGTAATTAAATTGATCTTCCATTTTCGTGCTTGAAATCGAATTTGAAAAGTTTTTTGGCTTCAGAAGATCTAATTTTGTTCGCATCGGACGCCTGTCATCAATTCAAACGGCGATTTCATTCCAAGATGGTAAGAAGGTGTATATCGATATGAAAACAAGAATTCGCGTAACTTCTGGTCAATATTCCCTGCTGCCTTTCCAACTCCTTTCTTAAATAATTCTACAAATCGTTCTGCCTGACCGTTTGACTGTGGACTGTAAAATGAGGTCGTCAAATGTTTGATGCCTTTAAATTTACAGTAATCTTCAAATGTACATGAAACAAACTGTGGTCCGTTATCGGTGACACAAATTTCACATAAACCTTGGTGCGCAATTACATCATCAAACATATCAACAGTTTTTTCACTGGTGGTTACTTTAGTTTTGATAATCTCCGGCCACTTGCTAAAAGCATCGACGATAATCAGAAAGTAATAATTGTCTATTGGACCAGCGTAATCGAGATGAACTCGAACCCATGGTGCTATTGGCATTGGCCAAGGGTGCAGAGTGCACTTGATTGGTGTTTTCGCTGCCTTAGCACAGCTATCACACGATTTCACGATCTGTTCAATATCTTTAGACATTCTTGGCCAAAACACTTTGTCGGCAGCCAACAGCTTCATACGACACACACCTGGATGACCTTCATGAAGACTTCCAATTATTTTCTTACGCAGTTTGAACGGAATAATAATTTGTTCGCCTCTGAACAAACAACCTTGGGCTTCCTTCAAGTCGTAGCGATATGGGAAGAAAGCGGCTACCTCAACTTCTTTTACTTGCTTGCAAAACTTGGGCCATTTATCTTGCGATACAAATTCAATGACCTTTTTGAGTGTCGGGCAATCATTGGTGGCTTCCTGAATATCTTTGAATGTGATTGGTAGCTGTTTTGCTGATTGAATGGCAAAACAAGATATATCTTCTATATTTTCATTACTCCGCGAAATAGATGCAATGACAGTATCTTCGTCGGGTTTGGTGTATTCAGACATCAGTCGGGATACAACATCAACATATCCGAAACTGTTTGTACCGATGAACTCAAAATTAATGTCGTAAGCTAAAACGATGAGCGCCCAGCGTTGTAGACGGTTAGCCGTATAAACTGGGATACCACTTTCTGATCCAAAGATAGCGAGCAAGGGCTTGTGGTCGACTTGAGCGAAGAAACGTCGACCTGCAATATAAAAGTGAGATCGTTTCAAACCAAATATGAATGCACGAGCTTCCTTTTCGATTTGAGAGTAATTTTTCTCAGCTTCATTGAATGTTGCAGCAAAATGCATTATTGGGTGAAGAGATCCATCCTTGAAACGATGCATTAATGCCGCCCCCATGCCATCTTTTGATGCATCAGTAGCCAGTACAATGTCTTTCCTTGGGTCGAAATGCGTAAGAACTAAGTCTGATGACAAAATCTTCTTCAGTTGATCGAATGCTTCTTGATGAATGCTTTGCCATTCAAATTTTGCTTCTTTCTTCAATAAGTCATCCAATGGACCTCTCAACTGCTTCATTGACTTGATAAACTTGCCGTAGTAGTTCACTGAACCTAGGAATGATCGCAATTGGCTAACATCTTTAGGTTGAGGAACTGATTGAACTTCCCAAATTTTTTCAGGATTTGGCCTGATGCCTTTCTCATCGATGATATGGCCGCAAAAGTTAACTGACGACTTGCCAAAACAACACTTGCTAATATTTAATTTAAAACCATAAATTTGAAGCTGTTCAAGCGTCTTGAAGAGCTGCTGTTTGTGATCTTCAAGGTTCTCTCCTGCTGTGATCATGTCATCGATAAAACCAAATGTTGAGGTTCCACTGAGCATTTTATCAACTATGGCTTGGAATTCCCCAGGCGCTGTTTTGACTCCTTGTTGAAGGCGATTTACTTTAAACATTCCAACGTGAGTGTTGATTGCCATAATTTCCTTGGAGTCATCATCAACCTCGACTTGAAAAAAAACGTCGGACAAATCTATGGTACTGAATATTGTCTTTCCTGCAAACTTAGCGAAAATTTGATCGGGTGTCGGCAAAGGGTACATGTTTGGCTCAAGTGCATTGTTAAGACCAGTTGAATAATCAGCACAGATTCGCAATTTGCCATTCTTCTTTTTAACAACCACGATAGGTGCTGCCCATTGGGAATAATTGATTGGACTGATAATGCCAAGATGTTGAAGGCGTTCCAGTTCAATTGAAATGGGTTCGCGAGCTGCTTGCGGAACTGGTCGAGCATTCCGAAATATTGGAAGGGCTCCAGGCTTGAGCTTCAGAGAAACTTTTCCTTTGTTGAAACAGCCAAGTCCCTCAGAAAAAAGCTGCGGAAATTTCTCGCAAACTTCAATAGCCAAGTCATCACCAGTTGATTTTATATGTTTGCAAACAGAATCAAAGGGAACACTCCAAAGATCGAAAGAATTAATTCAAGGTATGCCAAAAAGATTCAATTCAAGTGATGTAACGTAGCAAATTCCGCGTTTTTCCTTCCCATTTAGTTTAATGCCACAATTGAAGGCACCCAAAATTGGAATAGCAGCACCTGATGCGCTTGTGGCATTGGTGCGTATTTCAGATGACAGCATTGGTTGTCCGATTAAAATCCAATTTGATTTTGATATGATTGTTATATCGGAAGCAGTATCAACCTGCAATTTGATTGCAGTTCCGTTTACAACTGGACTGATATACTTTCGGTTAGAGATTGCGTGAACGTTAGCTTCAACTTGATTCGAACTGTGGTTTTTCTTGCTGGATGATTTATATCCCTTGAAATTTTTCATAAAAGCACAGAAACCTGTCTTATGCCCTTTTTCGTTACATTCGCCACACTGCTTGTCCTTGCATGGACAATTATCACTCCAATGCATTTCGCCGCAACGAAAACAGGCCAAGCGAGGAGTGTCGTTCCTTTGGTTCCGAACCGTTGACTTGTCTTTGTTGACTAATGACTTTGAGTTTTTATTTTGTTGAACAGAATGAACTTCTTGAGCAGCGAATGCCTCGCCAACTTTACCCTTGTCAAGCTTCAAACAAATTATACGCTCGGCTTCGTTGATCAGATCCTGCAAATTTAGCTTGTGAACCTCTGCACGTGCAACCGCATCTGTTACCCTCTCCAACTCTATATACTGATTGTCAACTTTCGTTAGAAGCTTTTCCAGGATAAGCGAGTCCTTGACGTCTTTTAACCCACTCACAAATAACAAAACTTTAAAGTCATCCGCGGTACAATGAGAAATGTCAAACTTCTCTGCGTGCTTATTTATACGAGCGGCATACATGCTAAAATCCTCATGGTCTAACTTTGCGAGGTTAAAACACCTATGACGCATTGCGAACTTTGTTTCTTTATAACCGAAAAGTTTCTTAAGTGTTGTCACAGTATTCGCAAATGTACAATCTTGTGGTTTAAGAGGTAATATTGAATCCGCATAACGTTGATACTGTTCCTGATTGAATTTTTGGAAAAGAAGATAAACTTTTGTCGGTTCATCCAGACCCTCTGCTTGATTTGTAAAAACCGACTCATACCGTTCATAATAAGCCTCAAAAGTTTGATTGTTATCTGGGTCATATTCAAAATTGACCATAGAATCGGCCAAACATTTAACTTTAAATGCTGTTGAATCTTGAGCAAGAACGGCTTGATCTGCAATCTGTGCCGGTTGACCTTGAAGAATGCGCTCAATCAGATTCTGCTGTTGTTGCATATGCTGTTGCATCAAATTCTTTTCTTCTTGGTGTTGCTTCAAAATCTGTTGATTTTGTACTTGCAATGCCTCGAACAATGCCTTGAATTGTGAGTGATCCATTTTGCTGAATGCGTGTTTTCTAAATTAAACTCGTCGCCAATGTAGTAAATCGTAATTATTTAATGAATAATGAAGATTTACAAAGATATGTTATTCAATTGCAAACAGAAATAAAACTCATAATTTTTCAATCAGTAAAATAATTTGACAAAAAGTGCAAAGCTTTTTAAAGAATGGAAAAAAACGCAAAGTCCATAATCAAGTCTCGAACACTCTGTTTATCCATTTGTAACAGTTATATTTATGTAGATATGTACAGAAAAAAAACTTACTTATATCGCACGCTTGCCTTTTGTTTTTACTTTTACAATTTGCCACTGCACACTTCATTTTGCCTTGTAATGTTTCAAACTATGCAGAAATATTAACGCTCAAATGGATAAATTGGAAATGTTTAGTTATTTTCCCACTGTTTTTGGGCTAATGGGCGGAGCGGCAGGGGGCGTAGGACTTGATATACAACCCACTAGAAAGAGCACTGTTCATACTTTGTAAAAAGTCACACTTGACCCCTTGAATCCTTCCACAGACCCCTGGGCAACCATTGTAAAATGGTCTAAAATTAGCATTTTGAAACCGAAAATGTCCTGAAATGCGATTTCTTTGTAAAAAAGAGGACCATTTTGAAATATGAGTGTTTTTACTCTCTACAAAATAATTTATGCAACCTTACATACGCAGTTGTGCATTTTCTTGATACACGGTTTTGTACTTTAAACGACGATCTGTTAATTGTTTATCGAAGGGCGGTCTGTTCAAGCCAACTTCAGGTGTTTTGCATAAATCAAAAATTTGTGAAATTTAATGATGATGCGTTAATAACAAAGCCTATTTTTTTGCAAAATCTGATGAGAAATTTAAAAGTAAATTTGAAGCAAACTATAAAAAGGTTTTATTTGAGAAGAACATTCTTTAGAATTCGACTTTTAAATCGCAAGATTTCAAAATAAGAAAACAAAAAAATAAAAGATAAGGCGCGCGGGGTCGAGTAAAATTTATCGAAATTTGGCATCACCCCATTCGATATCGAGCAGACGTTCGAGTAGAATTATTCAAAACACCATTGGACAGTAAATTTTGCATCGAGAAATGGAAAAATAAAATATTTGCTGAAGTTTGACCAAACAAAAGTAGTTTGCTGTGGGAGTCGCCAAACTCGCTCTCTCCGAGTTTGCTGCAACAACAATT